TTCACGTAAACTTGTATTTCATTTCACGAAAACAAGCAACTTGCAAGCAATGTTGTTTTTAAATATGGGCTGTTGTATACAATATTTGCAACATTTCATGAAATGTCTCAGAACTTTACAAGATTTATAATGTAAACTTAGATGAGATGTGACGCTCCTTTTATGTGCATCATATTGAACAGAAATTTACACTACTTTTTCGAACTGTGTATTCCGTGTGTGTGCTATGTTTAGTCATAACTACAATATTGATTTTCTTATAGCGTACTGAATAAGAAACATATTAGTTGGCTTACAATTGAAAAGTATTTGATTTTTTTTTTCAGTTTTACCAAATTCTAAAGAGTGTCAGGTAAATTTTGTAAATTTAAAAGCTATTTAAATTGACGGTTAATCATATGAAGATACACCGTTCGAAAAATTAATGTAAATTTCTGCGAGATATAGCGCACATAAAATTAACGCTAGATTTGGCAAAAATTTACGCGATATTTCTTGTAAATTTAAGCGCAATATCGCATAAATTAGCAATATTGTATGCAATCTTGTAAGTGATTTCACTGTTTATGCCAAGTATAGCTCAAAATTAAACGAAGGGAGATTTTTCGCGATAGTTAAAATTCAGAATTTTATTCTGTGTAGGCAACAAAACATCAGGAAGAATTCAGAAAGCTTCGCTACAATGGACTTTTCCGAAATATTGGTAAGCCTCATTGTAGCGGAACGTGTTTTATGGAGTTAAGAGTAATAGCCACAGTTCGAAAAAGTAGGGTACGTTACTATGATGCACATAAAAGGAGCTTCATATATCATACAACGTGTAAATTTATGATGACATGATATTCCATACATTGTATGCAACCGTTCATCTTTGTTAGCAACATTTCTTGCAAGTTGCTGGTTTACGTGAAAATGAAGTTTGAATGCATGGATGCTTACGTCACCAGTAAAATTCTGATTTTTTTTTGTGTACGGAATAGTACACTGAAAATTTAAGGAAGCGTAAAGTATTATAGCATATAACATCTGGATCAGTTTGAAGCCTTTGTGGTCTCATGAAATATGGTGCAGAATTTGATGAGACCGTTCCAGGTATTAATAAACCCTAAATGCTGAAAAAATTGAACACGCGCAGGACTCACAAATATTATTCATTAACGCGTATGCAGTTATCATTAGCTATTTTATAACGGTAGACATGTGTAGCATTTCCTAAGTAAAAATGACCTCGGTATGGCTGCGAAATGGATTACAATGGATTAGATGGATCAACACAAACATTTGCAAACAGACTTTTAACATAATACCGGCAGGTTAAAATTACCTACTAGATACACACCCTTTCATTATCTTGTTTCAGAAATCTGTAAGTATGTGCAATGCCTAAAATTTGATTAAGAAAATGTATGCCTCATATTGTATAAGAATGAGTGATCTCGGAATGCACGTGCACGAGCAGTTATTCTTCAAATGGGTCACTGGATCTACAATAAAGGATCAAAATGGACAGTAGAGTAGAGTAGAATGAAGATTTGCGTATTTTTATGACGCATTATGTTCAGTGCTTTCGCGTGTTTGGCAACACATAATGTTTTTCCTTTGCACTTTCTACGAAATCTAAAGAACGCTAAATTTACTGTGTGTTTATAGTAAAACCTTGTTAAGGGAGATGACTGGCAATATATGAACAAAAAAAAACCAAATAGCCTGGTACATACATAAATGTAGAAAGTAATAGCCTTTGCATTGAATTCCTATACATGTAAGTATAAATATAAACTGCATAGATTATTCAGTTGCGTCAAGTTGCGCAAATCCTCCTTCTAAGAATACTAGCCTACGCAGTTCAAGAGTAAGTTTAATCAGTGCTACCCAGATGTTGTTCTCTTTCTTACAGCCAACCTTCTGGATCTGCAAATTTATTCAAATCAATACTTTCTCACCATATGAGCACCAATATATCCTATCATTCAATTAACGCCTAGTTTGAACGTAACAGCTAAAGCCGCACAAGCACGCGGGAGAGTACCTAGGGATATCCCCTTGTTTGCAGTTTTCCTCCAACCCTCCCATATATATTATTCGTCTACACAGGAGAACTCGAATCTTGATGACTGTGCGTGATAATATATCCATTATCCGATTAAGTTAAGTGAAAATGCCACTTGTTATTTAGACATTCATGGCCTCGAAGCAGCTTCTTGCTACCACTGACAGAGGGAGGGGGTTTCACCAAAGCTGTAAACCTGATAAAGAGGCTTTCATAAGCCCGTAGGGAATCTGTGCATTTACAGTTTCTCCACCCTAGAAAACAAAACTGGCCGAGCTAAAGAGTCAGTCAAGTTTTTCGACTGCAAAATGGGCCTGCCAGTGTGTTATTTTTCAAATTCTCACCCCTCGACGGCTTGGCAAACGGTGAAGAGGGAAAACCACTTTGGACATCTTCGCCGAACCATGCTGAGCCGCCGAAGGGAGGCAATCGTGCAATTGGAATGGAAAAACGAACAGATGATACAGATATCCTAATTCCCTCCTATATTCGACACCCAGGATTCGGTGCTCTATTATCGCGTTTATATATTTATACGTTGCCTAATGATTTAATTTCCAGCACTGCCTCAGAATGGTCCATTTTCCGAGCTATTTAAGCAGCGTCAAAAGATTTTAATTTCGCCCTTTTCCCCTCTGTCTCTATCGGGAATGGCAAAGTGTCAGGATGAGTGAAGCGTTTTGACACCTCAGGGGAGGTATAGTTTTCGCTTTCAATTTGTTAGATTTTCCATCAACCCGGAATGAGCCTGGCGGCAACCGGAGGGATTGACATTTCTGACAGGCAGGTCTCCGTACTTTGTCGAGCCATCAGGGGATTAGTCTCGCTATTAGCAGCTGTTTCCTTTAAAATTTCAATCCTGAAAGCGCCTGCCTTCCGAGAGCAAAAACGGAACGGAACGGAATGAAAGGGATATCGAACCTCTTCATCTTCGGCCCCTTCAAGTGGGACATTCATCTCAATTTGAAACTCATCACTAATTAAAATCAGACCGATTTCATCAATTAATTAAATATTCCATCCTGGCTGCCATTGATGGTCGGTTCCTTGTGGATGGGATCCGACCACTGCTGATCAAACATCAGAAACCATCAAGAAATATGTGACTACCGCCGCAAATTGTTCTTAAGGATTCTATAATATTCAAATCACACAAAGAGCTCACACAAGGGTCCAGGCCTGGAAAAGCGATGTTGAGAAGGAGTTAAATTTTATTATTATTTAATTCTACTGGATCTAAAGGTGTTTCTGGCTGGAAAATTTTCAGATTCGGGATCGGTCGAACCGAAGACATTTTAAAATTCAATCAATTCAATGAAGCAAGCAAGTTTCACAAGGCGGAAACTGTGGAAACATCGCTGATAAATTGCGCTCCGATTAGATTGTGAACGGCGGAGTGTTGGTCACAACAGCAGCGTGACGACCCTTCGCTTCCGAGAATGGGGAAAATCGATAGCAAATCAATCTTTCCGTAAACGAGAATAAGATTACACAAAACCACTTTATCTTCTTCAAAGAGAGCTCACATGGCAACCACCGATCGACCGGAAGGAAACGTGTGAAGATGCGACCTACTAGGATGATACCTTCTTGCAAAATTACTAGCACCGACGACCCTTTTCCAGACAGACAGGGGCGAAGAGAAAAGTCAGAAAAAGTCATCCACTCGCATTCACTTGTTCGCACATGGAAAGCCACAAAACGGGACCGGAAAGAGGCCAAAGCGGTTCCCGAGACGCGAAAGAAAAATGACCCTTTCCCTCACTTGCTGGCTGTGGTGAAGGATGGTAACTGTTCCCCGCACACTTGGGACAGGATTCAGTGTGTCCTTGCTAGCTTCGCACCGAAAGAGAAAGTGATAAAGTCGATATATTAAGTGAAACGTCGGCTGTCTTTATATTGAATTGTTGTTGTTGTACACACTTCAGAACCATTGAGTTCTCTTGCTCTGCCTGCTGAGATTGAGGCGGATGACTTTCGTTGAAAGGGGAAACTGAAGGATCGCGGTGCGACAGTAACGTGTGACAGCTTAAGCTAACAGAATGCTTCCTGTGACGTCATCTGCGGAGGGTTTTGAATGTTTACCCAGATGAAAGCACCATACACATGTATGTATGTGTGTGTGTGTGATATCGAGAGTACTCTAGGGTTTTGGGGACGAAATGGAGCTGACTGAATAAAACATTTTATGTGAATATACTGTGTCTGCTCAGCAAGCAGATACATATAAATCCTACCAATCAACATCGGGGGGGATTGGTACAGTTGTTTAAATTATGGAAAAGGATGCGTGTATTGGCAGACATAGATTTGCTTTGTTTTAAAGTGCTTGTTTTGGGCCATTATTCAATGGGTAACGCTTTTCCGGCGCTGTTTCAGTGAACAGTATTGAATTGAAATTAGAAACGTATGCTTCCAGCAATGCTCATAAATTACAACACAGTCAAGCGATGGACCGCAGTACTGGGAAACAGGATCCGTGACTTATGTATAAGTGTGCACTTCTATCCGCAAAGTAAACACAACGGAACGGAACGGATCAGCGGCGTACGGTCGGCAGGGGGTGACTTCGATGTTTGATCTCGTGCAAGAAAAAGTCAGAAGGGATCACCACCACCCGAAGAGATGATGTTGATGATAAGGATGCTCATGATTATTGCAATCATTTCACGGCTTTGTGCTATTGATACAATTAAGCGGGAGAAAAGTGTGCCTCCGACGCAAGGCCACAGTCGGATGAGATGGAAGGAAGGAAATGTCGTTATAAGAAGAATAGTAAACATAGCAAAGCCATACAAAAGGCGAGGGTGGATGGAAAGGTTTTCCCGTGAGAAAAAAGTAATTTTTGCAATAGATCAAGTGGAGAAGAAAAATTAGATGGTGGTTTGCGGCCGTTTTCACGGTTGGATACCTTCGTTTTGCAGTCTTGAGAAAGTCGATTGGCTCTTACCTTTGTGATCACGACTCTTGTCCGGATCCATGTCGTCCTTATCCTTCTCGTCGTCTGACACCATCGCATCATCGTCGTCGTCTGTCTTATTCTTGGGCTCCCACGTCATCTTGTTCTCCTTTTTCAGCCGCCGCCGGGCATTGGCGAACCAGGTGGACACCTGTGTCAGTGTCATCTTAGTAATGATGGCTAGCATAATTTTCTCGCCCTTGGTCGGGTACGGGTTCTTTTTGTGCTCGTTGAGCCACGCCTTCAACGTTGCGGTTGACTCGCGGGTTGCATTCTTTCTGCGGGCCGCTAAATCATAACCAGCGCCATATCTGGACAAGATAAAGTAGAAAGAAGAGGACACGAGAAGTGTAAATATCATTAAAGTGACAAATTGTTTCTGTTCACTAAGAGGGCTGCTTTTGTATAGTAAAGCTCTAAGGCGAAACGCTAAATAAATGCTTTATATTTCTCTTGCTGTGCTTTTTTGAATGTTCATTGTAATAAATCATAAGAGTAATATGTCTCTTCTCCGCTTGTAGTCTAAAAGGCGAGCCTTCACAGATCGTCCCAACACGGAGCGCAACTTTCGGGAGTTGGAGCGACACAGGGAGACCCCATAAATAACAACAACAATAATTATTTATTTGTTTGCTCTCCTCGCGACGGGCACTGTTTTGCCTCTCTAAATATACACGAGTGGCTTTTTTTTCCAACCCGGAATGAAATATCACCAGAACTGAGTAATTTATTCTATTTGAAATATTTCGTGACTAATAAATTCATCATCATTTAACAAATGATTACAATATTTCTCTCTCCTCCATTTCTCTCCTTGGTTCTGCCAACTACTGAGCAACAGAAAACGATAATCTTCATCGCTCCAAGGGGGCTGGACCTCTCTTTTTACTGATCGCAGTGACCTATGAATAGTCTCTCCTTCAACTGGCTCAGCCTGCTCTAGTTCGTCGAAAAATATGCATAAATCTAGTAGCCACAGAAGATCTTGGAGATTACTCAATCATAATTTGTTTGAAGAGATTCCCTGTAATCTCCCAGCAACGGGTATTGAGTTTCGAAGAATGTGGAAGACAAATGAAGCAATCTTGTTGTGCCCCCAGCTCCGGTTGAAGACCGGTAGCTGGATTTTAGTCTTGTGATTTGAAAGTGAAAATTTGCTCTTTCAATAGCCCACTCGGACCACCATGGGAGATTGTTGCCTTTTTGTGCTCGAATTCGTGCTGCGCTTCCAGTACAAGCGCTGGGCATTATATTTGTATGATTAACCAAATGAGTATCAATTCATGACTAAATACAGATGTTATCTCGATTGTATTCATGAAATCTGGCCGGTGTTGTTGGTTGGTCTCTTGGTAGCGGGAGTCTCCGCAGGCTTCACGGTAGCCCCATCAGAGATAAGGACAAACTCTTTAAGAAAGTGCTCGCTCAGGACTCTTCTTTTGCGTCTCTTTGTGCGCACGCTGACGCCACACAGCTCGAAGACGAACGAGCACGACAACTATCAGGTCTACCCACCACGGAGCCAGCTACCGTATCGGATGGCATCAGGTCCTCAATTCGTGTGTCGATTATACCGAAGAACGAGATTAATAACAATAATGAGCCATAATTAATTAAGCCTGCAATGAAGTTTGGATCGTTTTTTGGGATAATCAGCATCGGACGGCCTTGCGATGTGACAAGATCATTCGTCAAGACGGATCGAATGGCTTAGGATAATCCACGAGCACCATGTGATTCGTACTCTTCATTTTCAATGTCATTCAGATAGCAGTCAACATTCCAATTGGAATTTGAACTGAAATTCAACGCCTTCCGAGTAAACTGAAGATTTCATTCTCATTCATATCTAGCCAACTTGAATAAGAAACAGATTTGTGCTAAGCGATTTAATGCTATTGCTGCGTATTCAAATTCACCTAACTTGTGTTGAAACGAAATTAAAGCATGGTGATGGGTCCGACGTAGTGGTTAGCATCCATGATTCTCAAACAAAAAGTCACCCTGACCCTAAATGTGTTAATGTGACTATAATACAAAAAAATACAACATATTGCATATTGGGGAATACTGTAATACATCATTAGGATTCCCGAACAAATATTTCCAATTCAACAGTTTAGGTTCTTTTTTGTGAACATTACTGGTGTGCTAACGGAGTTGATAGCTAATTTGCTGCAACGTCAGCATTATTAAAATCTTTTAACATGATGATTTTAAATAATCAGCTACATCTTATCTTAAATGATCATAGATGTACTCTAATTAATTTTACACGTAACGGAATCCATCTCGGACACAAAGGATGAGACGAAAACAAACAAATTATGAAAATAAGTGCTGCAAGATTTTTTTTCCTTGATTTGTTTTCCGTCGATCTTGTTTTCCGCAATGGTACCGACGCCAGGGAGGCAGCTCCCACACCTGGAGCCTACCTTTCGACCCATCAACTCATGGATCGGGGGCCAACGGCTTTACTTTCCTTCCAAAGGAAGACGTGATCAAAGATTTTATGCCTCAGAAAATCCCGGTGGCGCCGACGGGGATTGAACCCAGGCCTTTTAAGGAGAGTCAATCACCCTTACCACTACATCACCGGCACCGCTTAGTGCAGCAAGATTGAAAAGTTCGTTACTCGACGAAAAGTATGTTTGATTGAGCTGAACTTCACGTCTGTTATATCTCAAATTTATTTGTAAATTCAAGCTCGTGTATGTCATTTTCAGAGCACCTACATTTGCATGTTTTTTTTTTCTATGTTGAACATTTTTTGGAGTGACAGATATATCGTTCGAAAATTAATTTAAATTTCATGAAAATGAGCCAAACCTAATGAAATTGGATTTAAAATAAATGTAGGTAATTATGATGATGATGGCTCAACCCCTACAGTGGTGGTTGAAAACATTTATACCTTCGAATGTGAAGCATAGGGCAAGGAATGTGTTGTTCTTATTTCATCCGTGTTTCTGGCATTACATGTATGAAAGTTCGATCACACAAATATCGAGGCAGCAAACAAACTACTTTTACAATGAGTCAAATATTCAATTTTTCGCTTTACTGACAATCACTGAGAAGCGTGCAGCATGAACGATGAGGAAGTGAATTTATTAAATCTCAAAATCAAGCGCATTATTTTGATCTGCTAGTGCTGTAGTCTCGATAACAATAAAATGAAAGGGCAATGTCCAGATATGGAGAGATGATTTATTTATAATTGTATATTCCGCAAATATTTAAATCGTTTTTCAAACGACATTAAATTCCAAACTTCTTTTTGATTTTCTTATTCACATTGTCAATGTGAAAGTTGAACTCACCATCAAACAGAGACGTTCTCATTTAAGGAATGTAACATTGAAAATTTGACACGTTGTTTCACGACAATCATTCTATATTTTTGAAGCGTATGAGCACTATCTACATAGTTTACGTGTCGAAAATTCGAGTACAGTTTATCCCACTGCATTTTGTTAGTTGGCCTCAATTTGAATTTGAGATTTAAATTAAAATAATTGCACAGTTGGTGCCTCGATAAAAGGATAGCCTAAAACTAAATGTTATTAGATTGTATCTGTTTATACTTAACCTATCTCCTTAGAGAACGCAAATCTTCATTCAAGTATCGCACAGCATCATCTGAAAAATTATTGATGTCACAAAATAGGTAAACATGTCGCATGTCATTAACTTTCAAACCCTCAACGTCTGATACTAAAACTATAATAACTCCGTCATGTCTGAACAGATTTTTTATCCATCCATCTAATTAAAAAAGTTTCAATAAGCTTTAAATTATTTTGAAAAAGTATTTTTATTTTGAAAATATTTTGAATTGAAATGAGGTAGTTTTTACGTGGGGGTTGGGGGGAGTTTGAGAGTTAATATGCATAAAAAATAAAAGGGGCGATCATACACTTCCCTAGGGCACTCCAAGGTTATTCCCTAAGGGATTAGAAACATAATCATTGAAGTATGATGAGTTCTATTAGACAAATAACTTTCAAATCATGTATATACAGTACTCGTAATTTCATTGCGCTTGATTGTTTTTATAATAAGGGCATAGAAATTGTGTCAAAAACGTATTTTAGATAACTAAAAACAGCAGCAATCGTGTCTTTAAGTTCCAAGCTTATTTCACCTTAGCTACCATTCCGATGTTCCGATTGTTCTGGTTTCAACGATGGGACGCAACTCTTCGGCTTTAATCGTTTCAACAACTTTTTGTATATGAATAACTCAGGATTCCTTACACACCTGTGGCACGTGCCTTGTTAGCAATGATTGATTAATAAGGTCCAGCAAGATGTGACTAATGACATGAAAGCAATCTTGAATAACTCTAGCATTTTTATTATCTACTCCAGCCGTGTTGTCTAATTAAAATCAAATAGAACTATTTGTCCATAAAATGAAATTGGGTGAAAACTAAAAAAAAACGAGAAAATAACCAAGGAATCAAAAATAACTCCAAATGACAAAATGACAAGCGATCACGCTTTGTCGTAAATGGGAAGCAACAGTTATATAATATTTTTCCCTTTTTTCATGACAAACAGTCTCTGCAACACAGCTCACTCGGGCCGGTAGAAGGAAACTTCCAATTTTTTGGCAAGCTGCTTCATGAAGTTAAACCGAAGATGATACACGTGTGATAATGGGATTTTGTTTTGTTATGTCTTTTCTCGATTCCAATAAAGATATATCCTAAACCATGTATATTGCAACAAAGCAGGCTAGCAATATATAATTATCCTTCTTCCACTCCGATCGAGCTGTGTTGCAGAAAGAGTTTGTCGTGGAAGTCGTAGCAAGCCTTTTGTCTATATCGTTGGTAGCTTTATGTATTTGGATTCGCTGCTTAGAAGCAATTACTTGTGTTAACTGTTCTAATGTTTCATTAAAGGTTGTGGACCGTGGCTCGCAGTTACTAGTATTTATTAAATATTTTAAATTTTCCATATCTCTTTGCTATTGCTTTGATTCTGAGGAATCTTTCTCAGAATATAACCACAACGAGTTATCTTGATCGTTTGTGAATATTTAAAACGCGTGACCGTGTACCTGTTCCAATGATTATCACTATTTGATCTACAAAACTGTTTGTAGAATTACGTTTAGGGCGCAAAAAATCCTAAGTGTACCAGCTGTTCGAGTTATTCAAAGAATTAAAGTTTTGTTCAACTTATTGATTGGTACATGATATCAAAGCACTAGTAAGAACTGCTGTAGATTGATCTAAATTACCGACCTGCTTCGAATATTTCCTCCAGCACAGCACTTCAATTTTGAAAACTATTAGTTA